TTATAAATATGCCCTTTAAGGGCACATTTACTAAGGTTAGGGTTTTAGCCATTTTCATTCTCTCAAATTGAGGAGAGGCACCTAAGGAGCACAAGGGATGAGACCTAAGGGAGGAAGCATTTAGCTAGGCCATTGAAAGCTCATTCGAGGTTATCATCTTACCCTTTACGTGTTAGGATTTAAAATAAAACTCCAATGATCTCAAGGTGATCTAAAGATCCACCATGCATTTGGGTTGAATCGTCAATAGGAAAATCGATTTCCTATTGTGATGATTAAATATCCCCAATCCAACATATATGTCCATGATTTGTTCCAATTAACTCAAGATAAGAAATCTTACTTGCAATCCGTTAGAAACTGGTACGCGCAGGTCCTGAGCACCCAAGAGGATGAGTGTAGGAGTTTTGACCTGCAAAATTAACAGAACACAGGTTCAGCATAAAACATCAACTCCAGTAAATCCAAAACTGTACTTGTAAAACTACAAAATCAGACACTCCACCGTAACTTGTAACTTTGACATAGTCATGCTCTTATAAACAACTATCAGGATCCTTGAAACTATATTGATCAAGCTGTGTGTGAGGGCGTGTCAAATCAATGACAGATGAAATGAAACCTCGATTTTGACCTTTTTATTTATTTCTCTGATTTACAAGAATCATCTAGATCTGATTATGAAAACCACACCTTAGAGATGTGAGAGATTGGAGACTTGCTGTGAAACTGAGCCAGGTGTTCGACTGAAGGGGATTCTGTAAACCTAGATTTTCCCTCGCTTCCATATGCCTCAAAGTAACACCAATCAGGAATGTCAGTTGTACCAATCATCAAAGCCACGTTGCAGACAGGGTTCCTCGCAGCTGCTGCAGCGAATTTGTCTGGTGCCTGAAGAGACAAGCATACAATTCATTTCTGACATCAGCCATTTAGTCATATTATACGATGATAAACTTGTTTGGCCCAGCAAATGGTATGACAAGTGACCTAGTACTAATGCAAATGACCAAAGTTGTAATAGAACTCGACCTGACCAATCAAGTGTGTTGTCAGAAATCCACCATGTGAACCACCAAGCACAGCTATTTTAGACGGATCAGCAAGTCCCATATTAACAACATGGTCTATAGCAGTGAGTACATCATTGACATCCTGCATTGATATAAAGCCAGAAAAATTAGAGTCGAGAAAGCGACTGTAGGAAAAAAATATTTTAGTCAAGGAGCAATTTTAATTATGTGAAGAAAAAGAACATCGAGAAAAATAGCAAGCACCTGAGACCCAACTTTCCCAGGAAGAGACTGCAATGCTTCCTCACCAAATCCCAATGAACCTCTGCAACAAAGTTGGCCATAGAAGGTTATACTTTAATCAAGTATTATTAATGATCAAGAAGTTGATATTAACTTTTAGCTTGACTAAGTTGCACACTAGAGGTGTATTGTGCTGTAGAGCAACATGTCATCTTTGCTTTTCAATTGTTTAGCATGAAAAGTGAAAGTGAACTAAAATCATGAGAAACGAGTGAATAGAAACTACACACAAGTGCTTGGAGAATGTGTGGCTAAGCTTAAATACAAGTAAAAGTAACTTGTAAAAGTAACTTTCTCTTTCTAAAGATGTTTGAATAAGTTACATTTTCCTCAGTTTTAAGTAAAAAAGTTTCTTATTAGAAAGCAACTCTTGTTGTCAAAATAACTTATTTTCAATATTGATCAATTAAAAAGAGTTATTTTAGAATTTATTTATTTACTTATAAGTGAAATTATAACTTTCTAAGCTCAGCCAAACATGCTCATATTAACATAAAAGAGAAGCTAAGGGACAAAGAAAACTATTTTTACTTCATACCAATATGTAAAAAGCTCAGACGCCCATTGAAAATAGATACTTATCATGTCAAAAAACTAATTAGTATTGCTATCCCATGGAACATGTTGAAGGCTTAGAAGTTCAGATATGAGCAGTCATATGAGGCAATTCAAGAATATCGAGTCAAGCGTGGAAAATGTCGAAATTGATTACGCTTTCATATGAACATTTGTTAAACAAAGATCAAGGACTTCTGCACCAGTAGATAAAAGAACATGTATTCAATCATAAATCTTTTAGAGGAATACCTATGGACTTTCATGTGCTTATCAACTATCTTTTACATATGGAATAAAACCTCAAAGCTAAAAACTATATCTACATAGACTAGAAGTATTGACAATTAATATCTCCGATTATATTTTAAATAGTACCCACGCCGACTTTTAGTATTAATTTGAGTAGAAAGAAAGGAAAGCGGATGCCCCATTGCTCACCTATAATTTACAATTAGCAAGCTGTAACCAAGCGAGCTGAGGAAAGCTAAAGACTTCGAGAAGCTTGTTACTGAGACAGAGTGAGGGCCACCGTGAAGGATTACAATTAGTGGATTGAGTGTGTCACCCTTCCTAGACTTGGAGGATACATATATAGCTTCAAACGGTTTGCTTGCACCTAAAACAAGTCAAAAGTATAAACTAACACAGAGCAATATAAGTGAAGATTACATGAAGCTGCTTACTGACGAATCCATAAAAAACACAAGTCCATGAAATATATCAGAGACCCTTTACTTACTCACACGTCTCCAAAAGGAGTGAAACCAAAACCCTAATGATTGATCAAGGCAATGGATCAAAAGTCAAACTGGAGGAAACCGGGCAGTCTCAGATGATAATGATGACCATACTTTTAAGTTTATTCTTATAACATTTATACATATTCGACAGACTAACATATAGTTGGTAGATTTTTTAAATTAATATTTTAGTTCTGATTTATTTTTATTTTTATGCATGGATATTATATTAATGAGAATAAGGTTAATAAGTTATCTTGTTATTCGTTTACATCTCTTCAGATGTATCTTCACTTCTTTAAACGTATTAATCCGTTACAAAAGATCTTCACATATTATTGATGTCATTTAATGCAGATTCTCATTTGTATGTTAGTCTTACATAACTATAATCACATACATTTCATATATTATTTACTGCGATAATTCTAATCCGAAATTAAATAAATTGGCACTACACTACAACAAATCAAGATCTTGCATGCAAGAAAGTATCTGTTTCTATTCCTGGTCTAGAAATAAGTGCCTACATATTGTCAGTTTATTTGGTGGACATCCATGTAAGCTGGAATTCAGGGGGCACGTGCAACATTTGAACTAAGAAAGTAACTTCCAAATGTTACTTTCTGCTATCTAGTATCACATTGCAATTTCAGTTTGGCAATAACCTTCCTTCGAAACTACAAGTACAGGTCCTCAAGGAATCATGAACTAAAAACGTATTATCCAAATCATAATATCAGTCTTTAAGTAATCTTCTCTTTCTATTGAAAAAGGCCTAAATAAACCATAAAGTTCAAGTACCTTTCGTAAGGTTCTCGGAGACATCCTTAACAGGAATCTTCATTATATTAAATTCTTGTGATGCCGACAAAGACATAGCCTGGGCAAAATCATGGAACAATCTCAAAAGCTTTCACAAAATAGAGAAGTTCTCATACTACAGAATTAAAATCGAAGATACCTTTTCAGAGCATTTTGTTGTGGGGCTTGAAACATCTAACCAATCCCATTGCGCATCTCCGGCTGTCTTCCCAACGGGATAACCATACTTGATTTGAGGAATATCAACTGGGCTGCTACATACTTCAAATAGGAATGTAATTTAAAGATTATTTCATTTGTGGTAGAAAGTAAATTCTGATAACACTCTTTTAAAATACTCATACGCGACTTCCTGAAAATACAAGCACTCAATCTTACCAGCAATAATATTGTCCCCATCAAGAGCAAGGACATTCCAAGAAAAGTTTGAGCTGTTAGGGCTGATTACTGATACATTTCCACTGAAAGTGAGAAAGCACCAGTGTTATACAAGAAGAAAGGTTGACAAGGATTAATGAGTAAAAACCACTGTTAGTCATTCAACTTATTTTGAAGTTTAATTTTTGTTTCAGTTAAGTCACTCATTTAGCATCTGTTATTATTTTTAACGGAATGAATAACATAATATGGAAGACCTCCATGTAGATGCTGCATCAGATTGCCATTCTTCACATAGGACATTCTGTTAGAAACAATAACAATTTTTTTACAGATTGACTTTAACTGAAACAAAAACTGAACTTCAGTTATCACTTTAGAACAAAGAAAGTTCAGTGACTAGCATGAAATTTTCTATTAACTGAGTGACCACCAGTGCCTTAAACCCAGGACTTAATAGATTTGAGATTGATCCACAAAACAAGAAGTTACCTTAATACATTCACAGAGAGTAATCTTTCAGCACTACCCCAGACAGACGATAAAACCACTGTGTGTCCATCAGAAAGCCATGGTCCACTAAGAATATTTGAACAATAAAGCCCAGGAAAGGCCCCATCCTCAGGACACATCACAACAGGAACCTACAGATGCCACATAGGATGGGACGCAATAAATGTGGCGAAAATAGATTCAATATTATACATGCCCAATGTTTTTATATGGTTGTTCCTATTACAACAGATAAGGGAGAAACCGAAAGAAAATGAATCCAGTTACTCCAAAATAGTAGCACAATATCCATAGAGGGAAAATCCAAATGTCACGATGACTATGTCTTTAGGTCATTTGTGAAGTCATCATTTGCATTTGAAGATCAATGGAACAAACCATACCACATCAACAACTTCGAATGATGGACCTAGTTTTCCAGCAGTAGGCCAATCAATTCTATGAAGAGAATCTGTTGCCGAGTGTGCCCCAGAGTCAACAGAGCTTTTTGCAGACAAAAAGATGAGGAATTTCCCATCTGGGCTGAAAATAGATTAAACAACAATAATCAATTCCGTCAGGAGAAAACCAATCACAGTGATCACCTAACATGAATAATAGAATTCATCACATAATCTAAGGCTACACAAGATATGGCTATTAATAACATCAGAATTTTAAGGAAAGAGCACAAGATTAATACTGCACAGAAAACCAATAAGCAACCGTCTCTTTCTTTCGCACTAATGGTAGTACATACCTGAACCGTGGAAAGAATGCGCTGCTTATGCTTCGAGTCAGATTAACTATGGGCATATCTTCAGCTGCATTCCTTGTGAAGACGGAACAATATTATGTCAAGAGCATAATAAGGCAACTGAAAGAGAAATCTCCAAAAGTATCTAGCATAAAATAATGTAGTGAATCAAACAAGCAATTTTAGCTATAGCTAGTATTTTACCTGGTTTGAGTGGCTTCTGATTCAAAAGATGGAGCTTTGACTGCATATAATGCACAGGGCCTATTGTAGCAATATTTGATGCCTAACTTTCTAGCATCAGAAGGCCACCCAACAAAAACCAGATATTGATGCTGGTCTTCAGTCGATGGAGCCCATACAACTTGGCCAACACTCAATGACCTTCCTACACCTTCAACGGCACATACTTCCCCACTGCAGAAAGTTCGTTTTATGAGTTAATACCTGAATGGCATGTTTGGCAAAGTAGATTGGAAAGTACATGACTTAAGATAGAAAAAGAAGCCAAACTTTGTTTATTGTATTGTACAATCTCATCTAGTACAATGAATCCAGCATGTATGAAGAGCTTAACTTGTCATGCTTTCATGGCATATATGCTACCAGATGTAGATAATTCATACCTGTTTACACTGATAACAAAAAGAGCAGGCTGCCTTTTCCCAACATAGGTTTCCCCCCAGTCCTCTTCCCAATCACCTTGACCTTTCCAGATGCCACAATCCTTATCTTTAGAACCCCCTTTTTTGTATCCTAGATCAGTAAATGTGGGCTTGGGTTGATCCGGTTCCTCAGCAACATAAGCTATGAGAGTTTCATCAGAGTTCCATGAAATTCCCTCAAACCTTCCACCGAAAAAAAATTTAAAATTGCAATGATGCCAAAGAAAGCAAAACTACAAGTGACTCCCAATAGTACTTCTACATGCCATATCATAAGGTGTGCTGTGTGCATATATATGATTGTGCACAGATAGAGTAAGTTTACCATCCATCTGAATATACTGATCCATGCTTAGAGTGCGGAATTGGAATATCCTTTTTCACTACAGAAGGACCCCAGATTTCAAAATGGGTTGGAGAGTCATTTTCAGAATTTCGAACAATAAGAAGTTTTGAACCCGACGGGGAGGGTACCATCACAGAGACGCCTGTAACCTCAATTGGAAATGGAGCCCAATGAAAGCTTATAGAATTGTTGCTTTCTTTTAGAATATGACTGGTAAGTATGGAATTCCTCCTCTTATTGGCCAAAAGATTTGCTTGGCTAATCGAAAACATGGCCTGAGAACCTTGTTATGCAGTAAGATACACAAACCAACAACAAAAAGTCACAGATATTGGCTTTAACTAGAAAATTGAGCAAAAAACATCGACAGATGAAAATAAGAGTTATAGATTAGAAGGGAAATTTGCTGACAAACTTAAGGAGACATACCATTTTGAGATGCAAAAGTCCATGCCTTATCAATGGCCGGAATGTCGGAGAACTCTATGAGCAATTTAGACAGAGATTCATATTCTTCTTCCGCAGCTGCATCAAAACCTGCTGGCGTTTCTTTTATAGAGTTGGTTCCAGCACTTTCCATTGCTGAGGAAACTGAAAACTTTGTACTTCAATGATAAAGAAATGCAAATTAATTATTGCAGACATAATTGATTGAAAACTGGATAGAAATCAGGAAGCAGGTAATAAAAATAAAATAACTATTATATTCAAATTATGCAAATCTCTCTATTTTCTTATATTAAAGAAACAAAAGAGAGACAGAGCTTGATGGACAGACAGAAGAAAAGAGTGTCTCCTACCAATTTGCTGAATACTGCTTCTCAAAAATTCTATGACATTTTGGTCAACAGAAATAAGTTTCCAAAAGTTAACTTCAATATTTTAAGTAAAATTTGACATGGGAAAAGAAAAACAGATGCAGATCATCCCCCATAGCTAAAAATCTCTAAACAACCATAAATTATGAGCCAAAATTTTAACTTAGACATTCTCAATTGATGCAAATTACAGTACATGTAACGACTAGTTTTTTAAACTTTTGTTTGCTTGTATTGGCTTTCGCACCATTCTAGCACTCTAGATTATACGAATAACAACAGGGGGGAAAGAATGGTAATCATTTCCATATTACTATTTTTTCTTCCTATTGAAAGCAATGTTTGAACTCAGCATTTCTCAAAAATAGCTAGTGCAATGAAAATTTTACAAGACCACTCCTCTAATTGTTATTTATCCCTCTATTGCTTTCATTGACAATTAAATAAATTATAATAGCAAATATTTCCTTTTAACCATGTTGTCATTTCCCCGTCTTCTTTAATTTGAAATTATGAAAGTAAACACAAAGAAAAATTGCATTCATATTCATCATATGAATAAATAACAATACATCCATAAGAATTTACTTTTCCATCTAAAAAACTTAGAATATTATGGAATCTCCACTCATCATCAAATTCTGAAGCAAGCCAACTTTAAGTACAGTCAAATACAGAAAGAAGAAAAATAATTGAAAATACTATATGTTTCCTAATTATAACTTTAGCACTACTCTCATCATCAAAAGTAGATGAAAATATTAAGCTCCCGGTACTAACTGCTTTACATGTACATCAAGATCCTGAATTTAGTTTGTCCATCTCATCAATTTCCTTCAAAATAGCAATGAAATAATTAGATATTCAACTCAGTAATACTAAACAAAAACGAGCCAGTGTGCAAACCATATCAAGAATTTATATTTTCTTGCAGTATCATTTCAAATAGTCCAACTGTGGAAGAATTACAAAAAAAATCAATGGATTAAGCAAAAAAACAAATACTCACTCCAATAATATACCATAAAGCTAATTAAAAGTCAACTCCCCTACACAAAAACACAATAAGGGAAGGAGAAAAAACCCACGTAAATAACGCATAGAAAATTGCTAATTGGAATGGGTTATTAACTAATCAAATCACAAAACACTAATCAACCCAGTTTACAAATTATAATACAATACATCATAAATACACAAATACATATAAATACATACAGAGTGTGGACTGGGGTAGGCTGGGGGCTGGTGGGGGAGAGATACCTGGAGGAGAGAGAGAGGGGCCTAGGACAGCGAGGGAATTTATTCTTGGGGAGAATAGAGAGTGAAGAGAAAGATGTGTTGAAGCAAGAGTGTAACTGTAATGTAAAGGTTGTAGTGGTTGAGTGGAGTACTTGGAGTTTCGTCATTTTTGAGGATATTTTCTTAAGGAAACTGTCCTATTGGTGTAGGATAGAAACTGTCATTTGTCACTAGAAATTAAAATGGATGGATTATTCAATATTTTTAGGGGAAATAACATTTGATGTCCCAAACTTTTCAATGGGTTGCAAGTTTTATCCTAATATTTAATTTATGACACTGACAGTTCCAAACTTTTCAATGGGTTGCAGTCGGAGGATTTCGTCCATTTAACCCTTAGTTGACCAGAAAATAAAAAATTAGCCAATTTTAGAAGGTTAAAATTTCTACTTTACATTTTTCAAATGTGGAGTTGCAGTTTGTTCCCAAATGTGGATTGAAAATTTTCGAGAACTCGAGAAAAATGTTACCAATTCGACCAATTATTTGATAAGATTTGAGTGTTGGCTTACTAGAAAGTATGTGCTAAAGAAACAGGTGCTTACATGCCTTGCAATGTCATCACATGCTCTGGCCTGGAAGACTTGTTGGGCTCAATTCATTTGTAACTCGGTGGCCGTGGCAATAACCATGGCGGGTGAGGGTAGGCGAATTTGATTGGTTGTCATCGTGTGGTGTGGTTGTGGTGTAGGGGTCGGGGTTTTAGGAAGAAGATGAATAGTATTTTTTTAATTTTCTTTTCTCTTTCGCTTTTGAATTAGGGTTAATTATATTGCCACCACATATTTTAATAGTTACACCACAATTTTGATTTATTTTTTTCATTTACTTAAATGACCTTGAGTAAAATTACTTGATTAACCCCACACTAAAATATATTCTTTGACATAAAATAATTTTTTTATAGACACCACAATCACAACCATTATAGCATCTCTGTATTCCTCTTACCTGTGGTGCATCGTTTATAATGTTTTCAAGAGACCAAAAAACTTCCAAAATCCTTTTATGCCATTTCAGACAATAATCTAGAGAGAGACCAAATGGGGAAGTGAGAGAATTGTTTTCTTGTTCAAGAAATAGGTTGGAGTTTTCCAACTCTGAACCTGTAATATATATAAATATATATGTGTTTATATAAAGGAAACACAAGTTTTATTTTTGTTCTTTTGGGTCAATTTTTTGTTCTGCAAATCCTAATTGCAGTTAATTGGATCTTCAATTTTTTCGACGCGTTTGTAGTGTAAAACTGATAATTTGATAAGTGAGTGCTTTACCGAATTCAATTAATAGTTGATTGCTCGGGAAGTCATGGTATTCTTAAAATCCTGAGCTTTGTTGATTTTACAGTGTCTAGGAAGGGAATGTTCTTACAGCTTACTTGTAACTATTTTTGGTGATTAAATTCTACAACCAAATGAGTCATTAGAATGTGTTTTAACATTTTGGTTGTTTAGGTTTTTCATTCAAATTTTTATGCAGGAATAAGGGGTGATCTCAATTTTATGGTTGTTGCTATGTCGAAGATGGCAGGATTTTTTTAAGTTGTGCTATGGAATCTGACAATCAGGAAGAATGAATTAAAAAAAGATGAGAAAAAGTGAGGAGTAATAAATTTTTTTTCTTTATCTTTAGTTTTATTGGATGAAGACTATAATTGTAAATTTGTTGTGGTGTGTTTATTAAATACATGTTTTAATTGTAGTGTAATTATAATGTAGTGTGGTAAGTAAAATTTGTTGTGGCAATATAATTACCCTTTAATTATTTCACGTGGAAAATGTAAAGTTACAATTTTGTCCTCTGACTGTAATAAATTGAAAGGTTTGTGGATGTCGTAGTGAGGTGTTAGGATTTGGTGAAAGATTCTGACCGCAACTGCCATTTTTTCATATATTTTTACGATAGCATTCTATAATAGGAGAAAATATACCCCGATCTTCATTTAAATTTTTGAGGCTTTCATCTCATGTGATAGTTGCCAAATTTGTGATACTAGTTATATCTTTTCTTTTTAGAATATATAAAAAAGGTAGTTATATTACACCATGATAATCCTTTTTCTTTTGACCACTTAAGGCATTTGTATAATGATTAATTGCACTAAAAATCTTCAAATATTTGTTTGTTATCGTACTTATATTCCAACATTTACTTCCGTCACGTTCTGATAGTCAACCTTCAATAATTAGGACCAACCTTTGCTCATTATATTTTATTTTCTTGGTTTTAATTTTATTTTCTTTATATTAATTATCTTTTTCTTGTTTGTTTATATATACATAAAATACTAACAAAATATTCGGCAAAAAGTCACCAAGGATAAGATGTGCTAATTATGAAAAATGAAGGACAAAAATATGACAAAAAAGAGCAATATATATAAGTGAAACAATGAGCAAATATTAGAAACTTCTAGTGTAATTATTTTTACAAGGTGGTGTGGAACACATGAATATTGCAATATAACTCCACTTTGATTGGGAATATTGTGTAAGGTCCCAAATTTATTTATTTAGATTTGGTTGGTTCGAACCATTTGACGCAATATAACGCGAGCCTTGGAGGATCTTCCCATAAAAGAAAGAAAAGTCTAATTATTAAAAGGTCAAATAACTAAGCGATTTAAGTTTAAATAAATTTTAATTCAAAGAATTAACCGTAGTTGTATCGCAGCGGTCATTTAATTCTCAAAGATTATAACCCATGTTCAAGTCACCATGTAGATGTTTTTATTTAAACCTCTTCAAAGTCTCACTTTACGACTCAATTTAACAATGTTTATGATTATTATGACTCTCCCATTTAGTTTTTACTAAAAAATGAATGTCACTTTTTAAATCCATTTCTTCTCAAATCTGAACAGTTTTTTTTTTTACTATTATTATTTTTAGCAATGACATCCACACATTTTTAGAGAGTTTTTAGGCTCCACTAAAAAAAGTCAATGGGATTAGGATTCCCCAATGATGTATATATATTATCAAAGAGAAGATAATACATGGAAGGAGAGGGACATAAACCTAACATCTGGAAAGCAACAAATGTTAGGATTGGAAAAAATTCTCGAACCGAACCGGATTGAATCAAATCGGGCGATTTTTCATAAGTTAAATACCCAACGGGTATCTGAATTGAGAATCGATGAGTTTTGTTCAGTTCTCGATTCTAGACCTAGAACCGAAGAACAGAATAAGAACCAAATTTAAATAATTTTTTTAATTTTTATATTGAATTAATTAAATTTTTTTTTATAAACAAATTAGCAAATTAACTAATTTAGTGATTAATGCTCTAACTCGCAAGCCAAGTCCATGACTAACTAGTCCAATCCAATCCAATTTTTAAATTCAATTTTTGATTTAATTTTTTTGCCCAATTATTAATTTCATTCTTAGCTCAAGATCTATGCTTTTTTTAAGTTTTTATTCTTCTATTTCCAATTTCACACTTTCATTCGGTAACCACTGAGTCACTGACCACAAATCATTTGATAAATTGAAAACCTACATCTACATGCCCAAATCGAAGCTGCCGATTGTCGAGTCTGACTTTCCCTCTCCAACTGCCCATCGAAGCCGTGATCTCTGACCACGACCACCGATTGTTGACCATTAGAAATCTGTTAAAAATTAATTATGGATGGAACCGAGCATAACCAAATTTAATCGAACGGAACGGAACCCGAACCCGAACTGTTCTATAATTATATTTGGATCTGACGATTCCACTTTTTAAATACTCGAAAATTTTGGTTCGATTCGGTTCGATTTTGAAGAGAATTGAACCGAATCGAACCATGTCTAACCCTAACGAATGTGATAAAAGCTCTAAGAAAACAATAAACGAAGAGTACTTCTCCCAATACATAGGAAACAACATCACGATCAAAATGTAGGAGATGTCTAATATGTCTGAGAGTAACCTGAATTGCCCATGCTCATCCACCTTTGATGATAAGTGTTAGCCTTAACCTAAATCCCTAAAATCCCAAGTCTTCTGGCAAGAAGAATCCCATCCAATATAGCTCAAAGCTCAACCTCCAGAATTAGGCAAGAACCATAGTTAGAAGAGAATGCCCTTATACATTATCCGGCTTGGTCTCGTATAATACCTCCACCATTAGCAAATCCATCTATCGATGCATCCATCGGTGTTGATCTTGTAAGATCCCATTGATGGAGTGTGCCAAAGAACCAATATAAGGGAATGATCGGGAGGTACGGTCATAGAGATACTAAATAGGAGAGAAAGAGCTAAATCCCTCTTCTAGTGTAAAGATCAAAACAAACAACCTCTATGAAGAAATGAAATTATACGATAAACCCTCCATACAATCTGACTAGGAACCATGCGAATATCCTTGTATTTTATGGCATTCGTCTTGTCTTTTTTCCAAGATGCCATGCAATGTATGGCTTGGTCCGTGCCTCGACCAACTTCAACCTCTTCTAGATAGGAGGAGCTGAATGGAAAACAGTTGTAAATTACGGATGTGTCTTCATACAAAATTTACCTAGTAAAAACTAAGCCATAACGATCTTTGAGAACTAAATAACCACCAAAGCTTTATAGAAATGTGTTAGCAACATCATGTAGTCTCCTAAAGCCTAATCTACCATCATTTTTCCAGTCAAGTGCTCCAATCTCCTGTTGAGACTAGTGGGTGTCCGTCTAGGTAGTATACGACTGCTCTTGTCCATATTCACCGACCAGAAATACCTTCATAATCCTCTAAATAGTTAAATACTCTCCTATTACACTATTTCTGGCCATTTGCGAATCATCTACAAATGAAAGGTGTGAGACAAGAGTGGTACCTCTATGTTGATAACCCATACTGGGTATTTTGAAACTGCTGAGTGAGTAGGAAAAAAATGTAATCAGCAGCAATAATGAATAATGATGGAAATATGGGATCACCTTGTCGAAGTCCCTATAAGGATGGAAAGAAGCTAAAGGGACAGCCATTCAGGAGTACTGAAAAACGACACTCTGAAATGCATCGTCTGATCCTACCAACCCAAATATATTCAAATCCAAATGCCTCCAAAATAGAGTAGATGAAGTCTTAAGCCATGTGGTCATATACTTTGGCCATGACAAG